AAGGCCCTCTCAGTGCTCCATCTCAATGCTCCTTGCAGGGAGCTTTGTCCCACGCGTTGGTGGGTGAATTGCTGTGGGTTCCCCCCAGAAGGACCAGTCCTGTAGGGGAACGTGAAGGAAAAACGAGCACAGAAGCTCAAAGGGATTGGGGCAGGCTCCTTGTGGAAGGGTATCTTCTCCAAGCGCTTTCACCCTCGTGGACTGGGCTGCCAGGCAAAGCGGGGGTAAGCTGGGTCACACTGAGACCTGCCGCCAAAGAGCAGGTTACCTCGGGAGACAGCAGTGCAGTGGGCAGATGGAGGCAGCATATGAACCTTGCACGCCCATGATCCCTGCAAGCAGCATAAAGTCCTACCGTGCCACCCATTCCCCAGCTGCAAATATGTCCACAAAGCTCCTGTTCCTCTGCTGTTGCTGCAGGGAGTCACTCCAGGACCCACCAGTCCTTCAGAGGGGACTGAGGGGCAGCTCCTGACCTGCTAGGAAGGAGTTGTGCTCTGCAGCCTATGTCGGGATTTATAGCCCTTGCACATCAGCCAGTCTGTCCCCTGTCCTGAATGCTCATCCAGCCCTGGGAAATTACCTCCAGGAGCCTTGGAAAGATGCAGAAGGACTCACYGACACCAAGCCAGGTGAGCAAGATGCTTGGACAGATAGACAGGAGCAGAAGGAAGCGAAAAACAACCCAAGTGATGTGCCTCAAAATGAGTGCGCCTGCATATAATCACATCTGAGATGAACACATCTGAGTTCTCCTGAATTTAGCTGCTCTCACATGAAAACATAAGCAAGGCTGGTGCTTCAGCCACGCTTCATGCTTGCCATAACAGCTGGCTAGGTGGGAGGTGAGAAGCTTGACTCTCATTCTCTGGCTTCCTTCCGTCTGTGCTTGTAGAGGCCAGCCTGAAAATGTTCCACGAGTGGGTCAGAAGTGTTCCAGAAACGGAGCAGAAAGAACAAACGTGCAAAGTTCCTGTGTGTGAGCAACACCCTTGCTGCAAGGTCAAACGTGGGGCTGGTGGCCTCAAAGAAATGATTCCCCTTGGCTTGGGACCTCTGAGACACATCTGGATGCTGATACAGTTTTGGGCTCCCTAGTACAAAAGACATGGATGTAGCATGGAGGCCTAGCTTTGTTCAGCTCTAAGAGAAAAWGGCAAAGAGGGGAGTTATGCCACTACTTCAAGGGGGTATAGGGAATCCAGAGCTCAGCTTTTCTCAGGGATATCCCTACAAGGAGAACAGGCCAGGAGAACAAGCAGAAACAGGGTAATTTCTAATGGGATGTAAGGAGAAAATTGTTCAGTGTGAGAGTGGGGCAGTCCTGGGGTGGGATGGGGAGATGGTGGCACCTCTGTGCTCGGAGACTTCCCAACCCAGCTGAACAAGGCTCTGAGTCACCTGTTTGASCTCTGCAGCCAGCCCTGCCCAGAGCCTGGAGCCTTCCCGAGTCCCTTCCAGCCTAAAATGTATTCAATATTCCAACATTGATTGTGCAACGACAAGACCATCATTTGAAGACGACTGCACAATGCCGCTTCTTAGGAGGCTTGTGACCTTCTGAGATGGCTGGCAGCAACCCAAGCATTGCCCGCAGCTTGGCTCTTCCATAGGAGCAAGGCTCCAGTTGATACCCCCTGCAACCAAAGGGCCCTTATGTGGCCAGTAGCGATGCAAGTACCGTGGAGAAACCAGAGGAGAAAATAAGTCACTGTGGAAAAAATGTGCAGACCTAATGGCAGAGCAAGGGGAGAGGGTTGCACGTTCTGGGTTACATTCTGACATCTCCTTTGGTTCTGGCTTAACTCCTTCTCGGAGAAGTCGGGGTTTGGGCACATGTTCTCGTGGTTTGGCCTGGTTCTGGTGTTTTTCCACTGAAGCCCAGAAGTATTTTTAGGCTGGGAGAAGCGGATCTGTGCTGCGCTGGAAGGATCAGAGCAGTGCTGTGCAGTGAGGGCCCTGCCCRCTCTCTGTCCTGGTGAAGGGCAATAGATTGGAGTCAGGGGAGTAAACACAAACGCTTTTGGGGGGGTATAGCAGGACCTGCTGTCCATGGAATGCAGCCGAGCAGCCACAACATGGCTTGGATTGAGAGCAGGAGGAGGGTGCCCCAACGTGCCCATTCGCTGGATGGTGCCACAGAGAGCCCGGAGTGCCCCAGCCGGAGCGGGGAACGTGGGCAGCCCGGAGCCACATCYGAACCGGCTCGTTTGACATCTCTGCGGGGAGATCTGCTCTGCAGGCTGCCCCCAGAGCCGGCCGCACAGCAGCTTAAACCCATTAGCTGCTAGGCTTGAATAACAGCGTGAGGCCCCACCAGGACCAGACCCAGGGAGTCCCAAAGTCAAGAGCTCTGTTTTACCTCCTCTGAAGACCTCAGTGTCATGGACCGACTCCTTCCAGCAGGACAACCTGACCCTTGCAGGAGCTCTTGTGCATCACCAGGGTTAAGGAGYATGGTGCTGCCCCTAGGTTTATTTTGGGTGTTCATTAACTTAACGGGATGCATAAAGAAGCAATAACTCCAGGTGCAGCACAGCTGCCAATTACAGCTGCCAATTACAAGCACTTGTTGCCCCCTCCTACCCTGCAATCTTTCCACCCAATTTGCTATAGCCTGGCACTAAAATATAAGTCCATATGTGCTTTGGGTTTGCAGCAGAGTTGCCTTCTTATGGATTCTGATCCTTCCATGTCATGGAAGAATCACTGTACAGGGATCTCCTCCCCACTGGATGGAGGTCCAGTTGGCCAAAGCAGAGTCCACCCCCTATATATCATCATTAACCTTAATCAGCATTAATCAGGTACCYACATTTGGTGCTGCCTTAGGAGCAGTGTGGCCAACAGAGCAAAGGAAGTTATCAACCTCTCTCCTGGTGCAGAACAGACACAACTGCCCAACAACTTGGTCTCAGCTGGAAAAGTTCTTTTCAGGGTTGGGTTGGTGGATGCTCCAGTGATAGATGACCTAATGATGGGTTGGCTGTTGCAGCCAGCTTTCATTTGGAAAGAATTTTGCATTTTCTGCCAAAATTATTGAACTAGGGAAGCGAATTAGACACATAAAATCTGTGAGGGGACATGTGTCCTAGGGAGAAGAGCAGAGAGCCATGAGGATGTGGTGGTTGTGAGCAAGAACCAAACCAGAAGTAAGATGTCAAATGTTCCTAGGTAGCAGTGAGGCCAGACRGTGACACCTGCTCCAACTCCGATTTATTGAACATTACAAAATAGTCTGCATATATTTTCACATTAAAACAATATTCTTGCAAATAAGATAAGCCTCGAGTCATTTGTGGTGCCCATGGCTACAGAAAACACTGACCCAGCTAAGGATTTAATATGGCCCAATGTCAGAAATCAAAACCAGAATAAGGCATACAAGAGATGCAAAACTATATAAAAACCTTCCAAAACCCTCGCACTCAAGCTGGTGGGACAGGTATGGAGCAGACTGGCCTTTGCTGAGTCTTGCTGGGAGAACCAGGGGGTACCACCAGTTCACTTGCCCCATGTGGGGCTCCAGTAGATGTGCCTGCTGATCACATCTAAACGTTGTGTTGTCTCCACATTGGCTGCTGTCTTAGCTCCCCTAAATAGGCTGGAGCAAGCAGTTATTTACCTCCTCCGCTGGGAGCAGCCCCATGGGCTTAATATTTGGCATTAATATCCCAGGTGACAATTCTTCCATAAGAGGAGCATCCCTGATGCTCTCACGTTGGCCCAGGCTGGCACGTGGAAGCTCAAGCACAGCAGCTGGGCACGGGAGACCCCATGGCCTGGGCCAGCATGAGAGGGTTGGGGATGCTCCATGGGCCGTTTCCACCTAAGGAAATTATGTAAGGATGTACTCAGCTCTCCCCTTGTCCCTGCTCCCCATGTACATTCGTATTGGCTGCGTGATCCCCTCCTCATCACAGTCAGCCCTTCTGGCTAACGGGCTCCAGGGACCTGGAGGAACTGGGATGCAGGCAGGATGAATATGGCTGTGCTTGAACCCAGCAGTTCTTGAGGTACAGTTCTTGCCCCTTGGGGTCACACCAGGAATGATTTGCTCCTAGGACCATTTCCACCTCAAGGATGCTCTCAGCTCTTCCCTCTTGCGCCTGCTCCCAATGTACATTCATATCTGCTGCTTGTCCCGCTTGCTTTCTTCTTCACGCTGCAACTGGCCCTCCTGGCTGATGGGCTCCGGGGAACTGGAGGAACTGGGATGCAAGCAGGATGGAGTCTCAGGTTCAGGACAGCTGCCTCCTCTCAAAGCCATCGAGCTGAACAACAGCAGATACCAGGAGCACATCCAGACCAAAGGGGTGAGGTGGGCACAGCATGTTGGGTGCTAAGCGCCTCCCTGTGCGTATGTGTTCAGGAGTGTGGCTCCTGGTGGAGCCCATTCCCCGGAGCGCAGCTCCCGGTCCTGAGAAGGTCAAGGCGTTGCCTCCGTGGCGCATCCATAACACAGGCAACACGGAGCTGCCATGAAAAAGAGCCAATCTCTTGCCTCATGGCCAAAGTCTAAGTTTGCCATAGGGAAACCAGCACTATGGCGGCACTGAAACCGATGGCTTGGTCACTCTATGGGGATGGGCTGTCTCTCGTGCCCTGGACAGGCTGGAAAATCAGCTTGTGCCCTAATCCCTGTGAGCARCCTCTCAGTGAGGATCCCCAGCATTCGGGGTGGCACAGCCATGGCAGAATCAATTCCAGCTGGGATCTCAGCTCTGGGAGGAACAGCTCTGGCCTCCTGGGGCTTCAAGGATTGKAAGGACCAGAGAAGAACAAAGGAGTTTAGCATCTGCACCTCCCTGGGTAGATGGTACTTGCTATTCCTGCTTGAAGCTCATCCACCTCCACTGGTAGGTGTGCGGGCCAAGGCCAGCATGGAGCACAGCTCCAGCGGGAGTACCAGGATCTCCTGGCTCTCGGGGAGGCTCCAGAGACATACACAAGCTTTACACAGCAAGACAGCAGAGCAGTCAGCAGTTTGCAGCCTCTCTGCAGCATCCCAATGCCCTCCCCATCCACAGTCCACCTCAAAGGTGGCTCGCTCTGTTGAACTGGATGAGCCACCTGGGTTCTGCAGAGGACACTACCCTGCTCGGCTCCTCTGCGGCCATCAAGGGCTGCAGCTCCTGCTGCTCGATGCCATCTGGACTGCTGTCACTGTGCGACCTGCTGCTCTTTGAGACGTGGCTGGGGAACTGGAAGCAGGAGCTCTGCTCTGGCATCGCCTGGCTGGCAGACTGGGGTTGCTCCTCTAGCACCGGGCAGGTAAATCTCTTGTGCTGGGCTCCCGTCTCAATGCCTGGTGGGGAGGCGATGCTCTCCAGGGAGGAGATGCTTTGGTTCCACGCTTTCTGCATATCCACTGGCACGATTTTGGTTGTTTCCGAGGAGACATAAACAGCCAGATCAGCCTGGTCTCCTTTCCACGGCAGCTCCTTCTCTGCCAGGGTGGGTGACGGTGGGATGATGCAAGGGCTGGGACAGACATCCAAGCTGCCTGGGGATGCAAAAGAAGGACAGTGAGGGGSATATTGCTCTCTCCCTGGGCCCTGCAAACCCTGCCAGGCCCGAGGTACCAATGGGGAGTCCTTGCAGATGACTCAGGATGCAGCCAGGAAGCCCAGGGAGGCTCTGCAGTGCCCTCAGGGCTGTGGAAGAGAGACTCTCCCCCGTTCCCCCGACTTTGGTTTGCCCAGGCTGAGGGCAGCTTCACTCTCCAGGTGGGAGAAAGACAAACTACATGGTGGTTGCTCCCCTGCCCWCTGTGGGAATGCTGACCCCTACCAGGAGTCTTCTTTCCCTGCAGGACCTCGTCGGTGGCTCGAGCGATGAACACGATCCCCTCGTCGTCCTCTCGCTCTGTCTCTGAGCTGTTGCTCTCCTCCTCATCCGAGCTGACCATCACCAAGACAGGAGCTGCAGCCAGATATTGGAGGGGATGGTTGGAGAATGGGGCAGCACTCTGAGAGCTGACCCTCGAGGGAGCCAGCACCCATGAGAGAAGAACTTGCTGCCAGCCCAGCCGCAGGTGCCGTCCCACCACCAAGTTAGCAGAGATGCGGTGAGCAGAGGGCTTCTCCCATCCCGTTCCAACTGACCCGGCAAGATTCCCTTGCCAGGATGTGCAGACCAGCTCCTGGAAAGTCATCTTGCCAGCCTTCTGGCCTTACCTGCCTCCTGCCAAGAGACATTTCGTTGTGTCTTCTCGTTGGGCGAATCACTGGTCACAGAGATGCCCTTCTGTGAAGGAAAAGCCAGTGTCTGGGACCTGTCCCGTGCAAGGCCTGAGCCCCATCCCCAGACAGCCCTGAAGGTCGCAGCAGCCTCCAAGGAGACTTCCCAGCTTGCCAACAGTTCCTAGCACAGGGATTTTGCCCCTTCATGGCTCAGTAATAAACACTCCAGCTGCAATGGCTTCAGAAGCCTTCAGATGTGGCAGACACCAAAGGCTCAACTCAAGAAGCAATATCACACTCCTCCAAGATCTGCAGCAGCATTCAGGCCACTACACATGGAGTGCACTGTGCAAACATGCTTTTAGCTCCTGTGGCAGGTTGGAAATGCTCCTCAAGGACTCACAGCTGCTTTATTCAGGAAACAAATACCTCAAGGCACCCACGTGGTTTTGGAGATGCCAATGCCTTGTAGCACCTCATCTAGGCATGGAAGGACCTCACTGCCCCCAACCTGAGGGAGGCCGGATAGCTAGGATAGCAAAAGAGTGCGAAACCAGGGAGAACTTGCCTTTTTCCTACCCTTCTCCTTTAGCCTGGCTTTGCTCTTGGAAGAGCAGACGTTGTGCTTTGTGGACTTGAAGGTTTCCAGCCGCCTTTTCATGTTCTGACGGAAGACTTCTTTATCTTGCCGCTCTTGTTTATCTGGAGAGATGAAGTGACGGCTGTAGCTGGCCTTGTACTGGCCAAGGGAGAGGCAAAGAGACACAGGGTGAGCAGCCGGCCCCGTGGAGCAGTCTCCATCCCTGCTCCCACGTAGGGTGCTGTTACCCCTTGTCCATCTGTTGCGTCCCAAGGGATGCTCACCCTCCTGCGGGGCTTGTAAAGGCTCCCTCGCAGCACGTGGTGCATCACGGCGTCCTCCTTGTCTCGGCGGCTCCGCACCGTGTCAATCACCTGCAGGTCCAGGCATGCACCRCTGCCACTCTCCCTCCTAGAGAGTGAGATGGAGCTGGAGCACCCATTGATGCTACGGCTGTGGGCCAGCCCAGGAGACCTGCCAGGCAGCCGGGACCAACCTGGACCAGCAAAACTAGTTTGCTCATACTCACAGGAGGTTTGTGACGGACGACTCTGACATGGACGTGCGGCTGGGCATGGAGGGCAATGCCAGCTTGGCGGCAGAGAGCACGTGGCCACCCTGCAGGGTCAGAAAGAGCGGGGCAGGTGTTGGGGTGGCCAGGGAGCCAGCAGGGCCTCCCCTGGTGCCCTCAAGCCAGCTGGCTCCTCCACTGTGGTGTCTCCACCAGGGCCATCCCACTCCATCCCACTGGGTTCCTGCGGCATGCCCATTCACCGCTACCTGGTCCACAAAGCTGATAGCGTCACGGATGTTCAGCTTGTAGTAAACATCCCAGATCTCATCCCGGAGCCTGTAGGCAGATTTCCTCATCAGGAGCTGGCTGAGGTACTTCTTGTCAAACTGCTCCCATCTGGCACAAAACAAAGACAAGGCTGGTTTAGCTACCATGCAGGGGCAAGTAGGGCCCAAGGGTCAGGAGCCTCCTGCCTGTGCAAGGTCACAAGTGCTCAAAGCCGGATAAAGCAGCTTGATTGTGCACAGTCTGACTGTCCCCAGGGGCAGACCACTGCTGGGGGGACAGGAGGTGGGTAGGGACACGCTGACCCTTCCTCCTTGGCCAAGGGGTAGCCAGAAACCGGGCAGGCCTGGAGGAGCCACGGGCAGACTAATGATGGGGATGGGACCTGGGCCAGAATTGCTTCCCAGATGGGTTTCCCCACCCAGGAAACAGTCTTTTTGCATCCTTTTCCCATCATGGTGCATCAGAGAAAACAATCCCAAGGTTTTATCTGGGCTGGTCCCTTGTCAGGCTTCATTTCCCAGTGCAGCTCCATCCTTGGGAGACATGGAGCGCCCTYGGGCAGCTACTAATGGGCACCACAGACATCCTGCGGTCCCACAGCAGCTGCAGTACCAGAAAGCAACACCAACCTGAACCACAGGTGGGCTGCTCCCTTCGCACCCACCCAGTGTCTCCCTGGGACGCCTCTGCAGCCTTGGTCTGCTCCATGAAAGCAAGTCCATCACCAGACCATGCGCTTCCAAAGGGACGGACAGMGGGATAGAGGGCCTTCCCGTCTGTGCAAGTGAGATCCAGCAGGGATCCCAGGACGTCCCTGTGGCCAGCAGACCCCCCATCCACCTGCAGGCCTCGGGAGRATCCCAGGTGAGACACTCACTTGTCCCGCCAGTAATGGTAGCCRTGGTGCCCCACAATGTCCTCCACTGCTGCCAGGATGTGATCAAAGGCCTTGAAGGGGGAGAAGAGGGTGAGCGTGGTGGAAAGGCACCCATGCCAGCACTGAGTGTGCCCAGCGGTGCGGAGGCCCTGCATTGCTCAGCCCCAGTGATGTGGGGGCCGGGACAGCCCTGGCACCAGCACCTACGTGCTCGTGCAGCTCCTCGTTCAATGTGGGCTTGTGGTGGTCACTGCGCTTCACCTTCAGCCACGTCACCAGGGGCTTGATGGTGAGGCCCTGCAATAGCAGTGAAAGAAGGGAAAAACTGGGAGAGTGAGAGGTGCCGTATCTACACTTCCCTTTCTCCCACCCCAGCCTTCTAAGGATCCACAYGGGTCCCTCACCCAGCCAACACTAGCAGAGGCAGCTCAGGATCGGGACAGAGAGGAGGCAAGGGCAAGAGGTTTGGAGAGAGGCAGGTGGGGGCCCAAATCTGAATCCTGGTCCTGCTGAGCCCAGCTCAGGGATGATTGAGTTGCAGGAGAGAGGAGCATTTCCCAAGCATACAGGATGCCCAGTATTGTGCATCAGCCTCAGCCCACAAGGTGCCTCTGGGTGAGAGGGGAGCACTAGCGGCAGCACTTGGTGGYCAGGAGAGGGGCACAGAGCCCACCCTGACCTGCACGATGACAGTGAAGAACACCACCACGATGGTCGTTGCCACAAAGTAGTCCTTGGCTTTGACCTTCGCCCCATCCAGCAGGATGACCAGGGCGAAGGCAACAGCTCCCCGGAGGCCGCCATAGGACATGACCACCTGATCAATCCTGTCCAGGGGAATGAGGCGAAAGTGGTTGAGCACGTAGGTCTGGAGGACAACACCTGGGGAAGAAGGGGAAAGAGAGCCTTGGATGCTGGTAGAGCCCTGCCTGCTTCTGGAGACAGGGCAAAGCACGGGCCAGGAGCCCTGACTGGCCTCCTGCCCCAGGCCTCTTGGAGGATACTGCTCTTGGCATGGGAAGGGCTGGGCACTGCCAGCCCAAAGCACAGCTGGGCACACTGACCCACGGCTCTGAAGAGCAGGATGAAGAGCAGGGTGCCTAGCACCAGCGTTGTATCCCATGCCCACTTGGAGGTATCCACAGCCGAGATGCCCAGGAACATGAAAATGATGGTCTCTGAGCTACTTGCCAGGGTCTTCATGGTGTACTTGACGGTGGTACGGGATTTCTGGGAGATGTTGGCTTCCACATACTTCTTGCAGCAGATCCCACAGAAGGTGACCCTGCAGAAGAGCAGAAGAAGCTGGTGTGACCCTCCTGCAGGAGGATGAGCTGATTTGCTTGCAGCTCCTCACTGCTCAGCACAGCGCCCTGCTTTCCTCCGTACCCTGGAGGGCCACCCCAGTACTCACGCCAGGATGGAGGACAGGGAAACCATCTCAGCAGCGAGGTACGCAACGTAGGCCAGGAGGAAGACGAAGAGAGGCTCAATGATGCGCACCCGCTTGGTGAACCGCGTGATCAGGGCCAGGAGGAAGGCAAAAAGCAGCCCCACGGCCGTGCCCCCCAGGCTCACAAGGAAGAAGGAGACTGCGGGGAGAAGGCTCGTTTGCACCCTTGGGGCTCACCACGAGCAAGCTAGTCCAGCTCCTGTGCCCCACAGCCTCAGCATGCTGGGCCAGCTGAGTCCCACGTTGCTCCTGGGGTGCCAGAGCACCCACAATCCAGCGGCCTGTGGCCTGATGGCTGGTGAGTGCCCGATTCACCCAACAGTTAGGATGGAGTATCTGAGAGCGCCAGGTGCTCAGCACCCATCCCGCTGCGTGATGGTGACTGTGCCCCCGGCCACACCGGCCTGCTGGGRGAAGAAATGGAGGGACCGACGGGGCACATACTCACCTACCCCCTTCACATAGTCCATGGCATGGATGTGCGCTGGGCCCAGCTCCACAAAGGAGTTGAAGACTTTGTACAGCACCTGCAGGCAACACAAATCCCTTGGAGAAGGCAGGGAATGGCCCTGCCTTGAGAGGGGCAGCAGGGGCAGGCAGGACAGTCTGTGCAGAAGAAGCATCGCCAGCCCCACATGTTCCTGGGGACACAGCTCATTTCAGTAAGCMAAGTGCACGCTCGTTGTCCCCTTCACTTGGGGCCGGGACAGCAGAGGGGCTCTGAGAGCAAGGCATGGGTCTTCCCACGTTAGGGAATGTCATCTGCATCCTCTGGCTATTCTGAAGGACTCCAGCAACCACAGCCCGTGTCAGGTTCCACCTCACAGTTCCCCGAGCTCCAACTCACCACCGTGACAGCATCGTTCAGGAGGGACTCGCCAAACACAATGATGAACAGGGTCTCGTTCACATGCACCTCTTCAAAGACAGCCAGCACTGCCACAGGGTCCACAGCCGAGATAAGGCTTCCAAAGAGCAGGAAATCCATCAGCTCGGCTTTGACACCCGGATCTGCCAGGACAGAAGGACCAAACTCCGGTGGACCACCAACCYCTGGGATGTTTTCACCAGAGGAAGCAGCCTGGCCACTGAAGCAAGATTGTCCCCTTCCTGCCCCTGGCAGCCTGACCCCAGCATCCTGGCTCAGAGCATAGTGGGCTGAGCAAGGAGGTGATTCCACCCCAGGGGACCAGGAAGAGCCAGCACATCCTCACTGCAACATGGGGGAGCAGGATTGGGATGTTGCCCTTAGCACCTAAGGGCATCATGGTTTCACTGCCAACTGGTAGACACCAAAGAGAGCTGGGCAAAGCTGGGCAACCCTATGTCAGCGCCAGGTACCAGGACTGAAGAGAGCTTGAAATGTCACCCAGTCCAGCCAAGGCCAGTGGCTCCAGCCAAGGACAGGCAASTTCACAGCAAGAAGTTCACAGCAAGGCATCAGAGCCAAGGTCAATGACACAAAGAGGAAAATTGTGAGCCAAACCARGGCCAAGCAGGACCACCACTTGATGTCCTGGTGGACACTCACTGCCAGGGAGTTGTTCCTGGRATGCCAGCATCGGCCTGCTGTGGCAGTACCCGTTACAAGGTGGCATRGGGGCACCTTGCACCCTCTACCCCATCTCTTAGGGACAGACCCCATAGTACAACCCAAGCCGGGAAGCCCATAGCCCAACCTGGGAGCAAGCCCAGGCCCTGCGCACCCACCCATGAGCCCGGCCTGATGCAGCCCCCAGAGTGCCATGCCGGTGGCGAAGGAGTTCCAGAGCGTGCCCACCACCGCGTAGGTGAGGATGGAGCCGATGTTGTCAAAGAAGAGCCGGCTGGGCATGAAGTAGCCGGAGTCKAGGACTATGGGGGGCAGGAGGAAGAGGAAGAACATGTTGGGCTCCAGCTGGTACTCGGCTTTCTTTGCCACGGCCAACACGATGCCCCCAAGGCCCAGCCCCAGCAGGATGAGGAGGCAGCTCTCCGGAACCACAGACGTCACCTTCCTYGACAGATGGAAAACTGGAAGGAAAGGAAGATTGTCAAAGCATCAGTCAAAGGGGCATGTGGACAGAAGATCCCAAATCCACAGGCTCCACAAAACGGACTGCCCGGGGCAGGGAACAACAGAGCATTTCAGGTCATTTTGTAGCCTCAAGTGCATGGAAGACCTTCCATCTAGCTGATCACAGGAGACTCTTAGGTCACGATTTCAATTCRCACCCTCAGAGCCTCCCTCTCCTCCGTGCTCACCGTCTAATACGCCGAGACAAGGACATTTTTCATTTTCGTCCCCTGGCATCGATGCCTGAAGGGAAACCTGCCAGCTGAGGAGCGTACTGATGGCATCACAAGCCATGCTGGCTGCTGTTCAGGGGAGGGCACCGCGGTCACAGGGACGCTTTGCCCAGCTCAGCCCTGGCAGCGGGGTGACCTTGCCTGCAGCTGCCGGCGCGAGCAGACGGAGCAGCCTGCGGAACGCTGCAGCCGCAGGCGGGCAGCGGGCGGCCTCCAGCTTAGCCAGCCTCGCCTAAGCCGCCGCGCGCACGCCAGCGAGGAGCCTCACGCTGCAGGCTCATAGACGCTTCGGGCATTCATTTATGCAACGCCAGGTTGCCAACAAAYTGCAATGGCTGCAAAACAGGATATCTTCACTCTTTTTTAAAGCCAAGCAGGTTATATCCCCTGTATTTWTGTGTCAGCTCTGTAGTGATAAGCCTGCGGTGAAGCACAAGCCGATGGGACGCCGTGCCAGCCAGGCAGGGCCTGATCCCCAAGGCCGGGTTATCCCTTGAAAACTTGAATTGTTCCAGCTTCCTCAAAAACCACGCAGACAACCTGCTCTCCCTGTACAGCTCTCCTCCCTGGCATGGCGTGCTGTATTTTTGCTGCCTCAGGGAGGATCACTGCATGTTWTGCCCTCCCTGCTGCGTTCTTGAAGCTGGTCCTGTTGTCGCTTGTGTCATCCACCCCACTCTGTAGCATGACTTATCCATCGGATGCTAGGAGAATAGCTTGCCCCAGGATRCTGGGATCTAGTGTTAAAGCAAGATGTCCACCTGAGAGCACCGGAGTTATGGAAAAGTCCTTCTCCTGGGGTGTGGGTTCCTGCGGGTGCTTCCAGAGCCATCTCTGAGCACTTTGGCTTCGAGCACCCAGCAGGGACTTGGTGTCTGTGGACCCAGCAGGTACAAGGCACATTGGAGCAGCTGCCAAGCTGCCACTTGGCTTCAAGCCCATCCCTACTGCCCAGTCCAAACTCAGTTCCTAAAGACCTTTAGCTGGATGAGATGTCTCCATTGCTTGTGCCAACTCATCCCCCATCTCCGTCTCCATTTGGAAGGAAGGCCATGCTGTGGTCATGCATAGACCTGAGGACACTTTTCTTCTCTCCCTGGGGACCCACATGGACAGACCCTTGCTCTGCCTAGCCCAGCATCCCCTCTCCTGCAGCTCTGCAAAGAAGCTCAGGAATAGGCAATTCTTCCTCCATAGGTTGCCCTATCTCTGCTGCCCTTGCTGTCCTCCCCGAACCTGTCCCAGTCCTGCTCTATCCACGCTGGGATCAGGCCCAGCACGCCCGGCAGAACCCCGCTTGCCCCACGGGAGCCTGCAGAAGGCAGCACCAGTGGGCGGCCCCGGCTCGCTCGGTAACTGAGCAGGCTGCGAAACCATCTCCCACCCACGCGAGCAAAGCGCTGGAGTTTGCAGGAGAACAGCGACACACGCAGCCCCTTTCTGCAGGCTCAGGGAGCATTGCCAAGATCCCCGCTCCCCAACGCCTCTCCATGCTGCACCTGCACGGCAGAAACCCCCCGGCCGCACGGAGGGACCTGGGGGAACACGCAGAGCTGCTGGGGGACCTTGCTCTGTCTCACTGCCCTCTTTATCCAGGGCCATAAATCCAGGCAAAGATGGGGAGAGCAGTGAGAGAAATGGAGTCTGCACCCACAGCCTCTTGGTCCAGCCATGAGGGCATCCCAGGGCGTTCATGTCCCCACAGCCCAGGTACTGCGGATGGTGCATGGAGCCACCAGTGTCCCACCCTGTGTGACCCAGTCTGCACCTTATGGACATCTCTTTGGCCTCATTTCACCGTGTGGCCTGGAGCAGGGCTGAGGACAGGGAGCCTGAGACCCAACCCAGCACCACGGGTAGGAAACCTTGGGCCATGGCACCRGGAGCACCAGTGGGGACAGCGTGAGAGCAGCATCTCTGGAGCAAGGCCCCTGCAACCAACCCGTTTTCCAGGGAAAACCCCAGTCCAGGGATCTCTGCAYCTGGCTCGGGGAACAGAGGTTTCTGGCTTCCCTTACCCTGCAAGGGGCTGATCCCACTGCCACCCTCGCAAGTAAATCACCGAACACGAGCTCTGCACCGCAGGAGCAGCGAGGAAGGAGGGGTGGCAAAAGCTCTAATTTTACACGCAGCAGCCAAGAATTTCGGTATTAACGTTCCCACAGCAACGGTAACTTAGCCACATGTGAATTAAGTTCAGAGCCGTTATCCCCACTCAGACGCCGATAATACAGGATTTGCAGTCGGGAGAACTTCGGACCAGGCTGCACCCTCCCTTCTTAGTTGAGCAAGGTGCTGGTGGAAACCACACAACAAGATGCACTCCACAGCCAGGAAGGAAACCACAGGGTCAGGGCACCACGTGCTGCAAGGGCTTTGGGGGTGCAAGGACTTTGGGGGGATGCTACTGGGTGGGAACGTGTCTGAGCACGCAGGCAAGCCCCTGCCCAGCAGTGCATGGGCAGAAGGGATGAGAAGCAAGCGCAGGGCCATGAGGCAGGCTTGGTTCTGCCCAGTCAACCTCCTCAAATCCCAGAGGATGGCCCTGAGAGACGCGGCACACCCAGCAATCCAGCACCCAGCCATGGGTATCCCTGCCTGGAGGGCCACCAGGCAGCAGGAAGCACCAGCCCCATGCAGAGACATCTGGGCAGTCCTGCATCACCGGTCCCTCATTTCACTCCTCCTTAAAGCATCTCTGACTGGTTCGGAAGAGGCAGCAGAGCCCAGATGATGCCTCCATGCGCAGGAAAGCAACAACCAAAGCAGTTGTTCCCACTGTGGCCTTTCGCTTTCAGCACCCCAGCAGCGTGACCGCCCCTGAGAACAGAGCCTACAGTGTCACTTCCCCGTCGCACGGGCCCCAGGCCACTTCCTCCCCTGCAGTCACAGGGTTGTGAGCTGGCAGCTCAGCGCTGCGGCTCCTCCGCACCAGCCTACGCCCTGGATCCGGGGCTACGCAGCCAGCGTTGGCCCCTCGGCTGCTTTGAGAGATCCTCCTCCTCCATCCCCACCTCCATGAGTCCCTGATGAGCCTCCCCTGCGTGCTCCGGAGGCGGCGTGAGCTCCTCTTTCCAGAGCATTTCCAGGCACTGGCTTTCTAGGATGCTGCTCCACCAGCACTGCCTGCAGCCCTGCACATCCCCACCTTGAGGTGCAGATGTCACTCCTTGCTCTCAATGTTCACATCTGACCCAGCGAACACTCCAGGCCAGACAGCCATCAGCATGAGGCCACCCGGGTCGTGCCTCTGCCACSAGCTTCCAAACAGTTCCACACTTCACCCCAGGAAGAAAGACGCCAGGCAGTTGGCTTCAAGGGTGGAAGACCATGGATGGTCTGGAGATTTGGCAATGAGGAAACCTAAGGAAGTCCTCAGGTTCGACCGCAACATTGAGGGAAGGAGGGAAACCAGAGCAAGGAGGAGCTCCACTGAGATGTTTGAAAGAGGAAAAAACAAGCAGAGAAAACAACTATTTGCCTGATCTTCTGCAGATAGGACGAGTGCATATGGTTGATGGAGGTGGCACATCTGCAGGCAAAACGGTTTAGTTTCAAGCTCGTAATGCACCTTGATTCACCTGTGAATATTTTAGCTCTTCCTTATCAGCAGATCAAGGAGGGAGAGAAAGTAAAGCCTGGACCCAAGAGGTCCAGACCTTGTTCAAGGTCACTGTTTTATCTCGTAGGCCACAGCAGGCAGAGCCACCTCGGGGGGACCAGCCCCAGGGTATGTCCGTGGGGACCCCACTCTTCRCCCCCATGTGGGCATCCCCTTCAAGGTCACAGGGAGCCCTGGTCTCCTGTGCAGCCACCGGCCAGCCCGCTGCAGGACACAGCCACACAGCATCTCTCTGAGCCTGCTCTTCTCTCCCAACACGCACGGGTGGCCTCCACCACAGGGAGCAGGGACACGAGCAAAGCCAGCCCCACAGCGTGGGGCTGCAGCAATGCCCTGCCGGCAGCCCAAAGCACATCCCCAGCTCCTGGGGGACACTTTTCCACAGCGGCTTCTTGCAGCAGAGAGGGGAAGCAGGAGCTGCACCTGCCCGGCTGCTCATACCCTGCTGCTGGGTGGCCAGCACAAGAGCTGATGTGGGGCCCCAGTGCCCCACTGGAGCTGAAGCCCAGACATGGACCCAGACCCAAGGTGCCAGGGGAAGGTCTTGGCACCACCATGTCCTTCCCTGGCCAGCGGTGGTGAGCTGGAGCTGCCTCCAGCCCTGCTGGGAGACCCCTTGCTGGGCACCTCTGCACCGCTGCTCTTCTCCTGGACAGTCCCTCCTCTGCGCCAGCCCACACGGGGAAGGGAACCAAGTTGTCCCCAGGCAGCACCCTCAAGGCAGCCCCCAGGGAGCCCTGGCACCAGGCTCGGCTGGCACTGCTTGGCAGGGAGCGGCGGGGGACGCGGTGCGGGTTTGTGCCAGGGTGCTGCAGTGCTGCCCGGAGCAGCGCAGCCAGGAGGGGCTGAGCGCCAGGCAGGCTCGGGTGCCCCGGCCCTGCGCRGCGACACCGGGGACAGCCGGGCAGGCCAGGCTCACGCGCCAGCACCGGAGCTCCGCGGCCTCCCCCGCTGCGGCTGCCGCCCGCGCCGCCGGGATGCGGGAGCCCCCCGCAGCACTCACCGATCTTGGCCAGGCTGGCCACGAGGATCCAGGCGGCC